CTGTTTTCCTGTTCACTGCTCAGTATCCTACATGTGTGCACATAGAAAAGTCACTTATGAAAGGTGAGAAGAAAAAAATCATTGGTGTGACTATATTCTAAGCAAAAACACACAGGAGATGGCATTTCTAAGCCTAAATGCTTGGTTAAATAGATGGAAAAACTCTCTACAAATTGCCTATTTAATTAACACTTTTCCAAGGAGACCCTCGTATGTGGAGTAGTGTGTCCTTCAGAGAGGGTTCTATGCCTTCGTCCCACCTCCTCAGCCCCATGCAACGGATATGCCCATTGTACCTGGCCACAAATCTTTGCCAGAAGCAGAAGAGAAACTGACGAGCTCGTGACTTCCCACTGCAAAGCCTTCATGCCACCATTTCCTTCCTGACAGCCAGCAGCAAGCCACCACAGGCATGACCCTTTCGACATTCTCTGCTGTTTCTCATTCTGTTTGGCTTCAACTAAACCACTCCTGAGTAGCCCCGTGTAATTTTTTTTGCAACTTTTCTTTCCTGTTTTGTATTTTGCTCCCACAATCTTTTTAGGATAAACTTTTCCTGCTTGTACAACTGCAATACTGCATTTTTATAGCCTTTTGAGACCTGGAGGCCTGGCTCCTCATGCCATCCCATTTGGGTTGGCCTATGGTACAAACTGCTTCTACCACCTATAGCCTCCTAATTAAAACTGCATGATTCTGCTGCAAGGATCTCTCTTTCCATCACAAAGCAGCAACATGGTGGTGTGGGAAACTCACACCAAACTGAGGCCAAGGCCACCTGAGCCTTGGGATTGGCCACAGGCACCTGGAATTCCAAACTAGTGCTGAGGCATGAATTCAGAGCTTGTACGTGCAAGGCTAGCTGCCCCCACTGTCCAAGGAGACCTCAGAAAAGACAGCCCATGGCTATTCAGGGTGTGGCAGCACTGGGGTTTAGGGGTTGCTAAATGGTCTCTGGGTGGTGGATGTACCCCCTGTGGAAGAGCCACTGTGAACCCAATTTTGCCTGTGGTTTTAGAGTTGGCAGACACCTTCCTGGGAGGTGCTAATGGTGAAAATTAAATAATGAGGCTTTTAAATTCATGAATTTTGTCAAACTAATAGAGAGGAGGAGGCATGAGGTGAAGGGAAGAGTCCTGGGGTTTGTCCTCTTTGGAGTGTGCAGGTTGTGGCCCTCCTGCCCTTCCCACTGACATCCCTATGTTGGTGGGGGCTAGATGTCCGTGACCCATCATTTTGGTTCAAAATCTATGGGGCAGAGAGGAGAAGGGACACTTTCCAGCATATGGAGGGCTGAAGCAGAGGGGTGTGGGGCTGCCCTACGCTGGCCTCAGTCACGGGGCAGTGCATGGATCTGGAAGGGCTTGGGGCAGCGCGTGAGGCTGAGTGTGAAGTCGAAGGTCAGCTCAGCATCAGCTGGAGCCTGGAAGGTGAACTTCTGCAGGAGGGCAGTGAAGAAGATGAAGAGCTCAGTCCTGGCAAGCTGCTCCCCAGGACACGCCCGTTTGCCTGGAAAAGGAGCAAAAATAACCCCACCGAGTCTCCAGCGAGCTTCAATCTCCTCTTGGTTTCCTCTTGCACATGCCACATTGCACAGGCCGTGGGAGCTTTTCTTCTTCGAAAGGTTAGGTGGCAATGTTCACCCACACATTTTGCAGAAACCTTCCCCAGAAGTTTACTGCTGAGCAAACTGTGATGGCTGTTTGAATAGATGAAGAGGGGAAGCTTGACCAAAAAAAAACCCCAATTTATGCAGTTTGTGCAAGAGGAAAAAGCCTTGTTTTTTCATCCTGCGATAACAAATTGATTTCCCTCCTGCTCCGAGCAGTCAGAATTAACTGTTACTGGGATTTTCACTGTGAAGGTGGGCTGAAAGCTGGACAAGGAGCAGTCCCTCCTACTCTGGAGGGGGCGTCTTGAGGGGGTGGGGGGGAAAGAACATTGGAAAAAGGAAAATCATCTCCCCATCCATTATCCTACCTGCAGAGAAGGGCAGAAAAGCCTCCCGCCTCCTGTACTGGCCATTTTCCAGGAAATGTTCAGGATTAAAGGTGTCTGGAGTCTCCCACACATTTTTGTCGAACATTATTGAAGTCAGGCTGGTCATCAGGGTGGTGCCCTGCAAGAGGTGGAGAAGACGGGCGATTATGTGATGGAGAAGAGCTGACGTGCTGTCAGACTAGTTTATTATTAGCTCTGTTCCACACACAATGTAAACTACTTTTTTTTTAAGGGCAAAATATTTTTTTTCCTAAGCTATGTAATCAAATGAGGGTGAAAGCCGACAGGATTGTTCACTTCTGCGCTCCTTTATATATCATCATAGTGTTGATCCGTACCTTGTGCTGCTGTCACTGGTGATGTTAATGTGAACTATCTTTAAATTGATAACACTGTGCTCCCATAGGAATTTGAAGCAGTTTAACCATATAATTTTCAATCTATTTGCTTTATTGTGCTCTTTTTTAAAAAAACCTGATCTGTTTTATCTCTACATCCTCCACAAGAAAAAGAAAAATATTTTAATCAGTGGGGAGCAAAATGCCCAGATTTTTTTATTTTTAATTTTCCTTGATGCAACCAGTCATACACATGGAAAAGACTATATATATCTAAATCTCATATTTGCTTTCATAATGCCAGAACAGTGTGTATGCATCAATACTTATTACTTGGCTTCTATCAAGTGCTACTTTTAATAGATGATTTTTAGTACTCTGTGGAATTAACAAACCCAAACTGTTTGCTTTCCTGTGTTTCTTGGCTCTCTATTCCCATAATAATGTCTGGAGGTCGTCGTGTATAAAATTTAAGGGATAAACCTTGTAAAACTGAAAATTATGACCAACACTGTAGGATCTCACAGTTCTCCTCTACAAGGAGGTGAGATCCATAAGAGCCCTACAACATCTTTCGGGAGGGCTTGTATTTTCTGTATAACTGTGGTATCACCAAAAGATCCTGCTGATTGGTTCCCCTCCAGATGAGATTTGGGACTTGGGCCATGAAGACCTAGCTCTGGTAGGAGGGGTGGTCATCTCCACGTACTTTGGGCAGATGGAAACCAGCCAGGGTGGTGTCACTGGTGGACATCCTGGGCACCCCCAGTGGCACGACGTTGCCCATCCGCAGGACCTCACTCAGTACTGCGCTAGTGTACGGCATGTTCTCCTTGTCAGCCATGGTGGGCTGGCGGGACTGCCCAATCACCGTGTCAATTTCAAGCTGCACTTTCTCTATGGAAACAGAGAAAAAAAAACCAGACCTGCTTAAAAGGTTCACAAGAAGAAAACTGGGCCATAGGCACATCCAACATGTGGTAAAGCTGGAAATAACTCTGTTTTCTGAGTTTCACTTATCTGGTTTTGGGCTAGGGGTCCATCAGTGGCCCTACCCTGAATGTGGAGGGACGTGGCCATATAGAGCAGAGCCCAGCGGATGGCAGTTGCCGTCGTCTCAGTCCCGGTTAAGAAGAGGTCCAGGGTGGAGCACAGAAGGTTTTCCTCATGGAAATATGAGCTGGTGTCACCCTTGAACTTAGGGAAAAGTATGGAAATCAAAATTCTTATTAGGAAGGAGATACTTTCAAGAACCCAATACAAAACCATCCATATGTAAGTCAAGTCCTGCTGCTATTTTATCACCCACATCACCCCTGGATGTGGAAATTTCTGCCCCTTACCTTCCTTGACTTACAAGCTGTGTGGAATGCTTTGAGAGACACTGTTTGGTGTAGAGCAACTTTTAAAAGCAGGTAGTGTTAAAGTTTCACAATAGCAAACACAGGCCTGTGAGCTCTCATAGAAACATGAACATGTTCCCTGAGAGGAGTCCTACGTCGTGTGACAGAATGAAAAATGGAAGAAGACAAAGTGTAAATACATTCAAATGAAAAATAAAAATCAGTGTGTTTTCAAAGTGATCAGGCTCCTGCTGTTGCTAAAAGTTTGATGTGGAAGGTATAGGAAAGAAAAGGCAATGCAGGAGGCATGGGGTCCTCTGAGAGAACAGTCTTGGATCTCATCTGCTCCTGTCTTGGGTTAAGCTTTAGGTGACTTTAAATCAGGTAAGACTCTTACCTTTTCTATTTCCTTCAGGTAACAGCCAATGTAGTCTTCTGCCTCGGACTGGTCCAAATCCTCCTTGTGCTTTGCGATCACTTCCTTCACAAAATACTGGAGTTTCTCCCAGTGTCTGAAGATTTTCCTAAATGGTCCTGGTAGCCATCTCATGACCAAAGGAAAAGCATTATATAGCTGGTGAGAAATCAAACAGAGCAAAAGAGCATTTCTTGAGTTAAAAAACCCCTCATGTATCGCAGTCCAGATGATAGTACAATTTATTAGCTCCGCTTGCTACTAGGAAAAAAAATGAGTTTTGCTACACAGGTCAATTTAGTTGCACAGATGTAAACAAGTACAAACAAGATAAGAATTGGCTAGATGTTTCTGCTGATAAAGTTCTGTAATACTGGGTGGTCAAAGCTGTGTCCTAATGTGAAGGGCAAGTGTGAGTTGGTTACCAGAGTCAGAAATCAGTGTGGAGTGCAGAGGAGCCCCTTAGTGCTGGGGTCCATGGAGGGGACAGAGATCAGACCTGGCCCATGGTATGTGGTCACGCAGAAGCTATACCCCCAAATCCACCTATTTGGTTATAAACCTGGAGTCTCAGACAGTTTTATCATGAATAAAAGTTGTTTGAGAAAGTGTTTGGGAAAAGGGTGAGGGAAAAGAAGGGAATTTTCACTGAGAGTGCTACTTATTGAGTCTTTTTGTAGAAGCATAGCTATTTTTAAGGTTTTTCCATTGCTCTTTGGCTTTGTCAGGCATAAGATTGGTTTCACAATCCTGCAGTGTTTTTTCTCCATGTGCCTCAATAATTTTAACTTGCTTCCTTGCTTTCCTGATGGATTTTTGTGTATAAAACCAGTGTAATGTAGAACAATACTCAGGGTTATTTCCTTTATAACAGAACTCTTTTTACACGGAAAAGCAGATTAAATCAGTTCCTTAGAAACTCCAGTTTTTGAGCTTTTAAATGCAGCATCCAACCAACTTTACCTGGCCCCAGAAACTTCCGATGAGCAGCAGCACTTCAGCCAATGAGTGCAGTAATTCCTGGAAATGGTTGTCATGGTAGTCAAAGCGGTTCCCAAAAGTTATGGAACAGATGATGTTTGAAACAGCGCTATTAATTTTGTAATGAGGGTCAAATGGTTGTCCTGGAGGAAACAGAATGAAAGACAGCTTTCTTTTTTTCTTTAAAGTCTCAGTCAAAATCACATTCTCTACAAGATCAACAATTTGTAGTTGGGGTGAGACCTCACCTACTTTTCACCCATGGTGATGCTAAGGCTTCACCCCATGTCCTGGGGTCCCCAGCACCCCCATCACTGGACATTGGGTGCCACGACATACTTTCTCCAAGGATGTCCCCTCCCATCTCCAGCCCAGGCTGCTGGCAAACAGCAATGTTAGCACAGAAGCAGGGTTTGAGCTGTTTTCCAGGAAAAATGACTGGGAGCATGCCATGCTATGGCTGTTGGGTTGGCACTCTCCAATACGTTTTTGGTGCCAACTTCAGGACATGGTTTAAAGTGTGTTTAGTGGGCATGGTGGTGTTGGGTTGATGGTTGGACTTAATGATCTGAGAGGTCTTTTCCAACCTTCATGATTCTATGATTCTAATTTTAAACATCATGAGTGGGTCCCCCTAAGCTTAGCCTGGGGCAGGGAGTTCAGGACTAACCACACTGTAAAAATACCATTGCACTGGCCTTCAACTGTTCCTCTACAAATAAATCAAGTGAGATGGAGGAGATACGGGAGAGGGAGAGGATTGCAAGTCTCTGTGGCCAGTTATAAAATTCAGCAATAGCTCATACAGCCCATAGAAGTGGTGCATATCAGCTCCTATAAGAACAAAGTATGGTGTGATGTTCGTCCCATCTGCATTCCTTGAGAGACCTATCGAGCAGAGACCATCATCTCTCAGAGGGCACATTTAGGCAGCCTGGAGAGCTACTTGCCATGATATGAGAGACTAATATCTGTAACGAATCCAGTCCAGCCCTGAGCTGCTGTCGGTACGCTGGGGAGCATCGCTTTGAAATGCAAGGCACTCTGCACAGGACTGCTGATCTCTCCACTCTTCAAGAAAGTAATTAAACTGGGCTGGTGCTCAGATATTAGAGTGATGGACATGATCCCTGTTTGTCATTACTAATGGGAAGAAAGGCTCAAACCAGCAGCTTAATTAGTTTATTGATTAGGACTATAAAGGACTATAATCAATTGGCAACGTGAAGTATTTGGCCTGTTCAGTGCAACAGCAATTAAAATGGAGCAAGTTCAGTATATAATTTCACAATTCCTATTTAGATCTTTCTTGTTTATTATATATAGCTCCACAGAATTAGCTAAACCCCATCTGCTTCTATTTAAAGCTGAAGTGCAACATCACCCATGTACCAACATACAAATTATTCTTACTAATATCCCTCTGGCAGTTCTTAAAAGCTGCACCATAAAAAAGCAAGGCACATGCTTCATCTGTGCATGATACAAAAGGAAAGCCTGACTAAACAAGTTTTAAAATACTTTGTAAAACCAAGGACAAGCAGAGGTTAACTAAGCCTCTGAGCGTACGTGCCTGATATGCAGGAGAGTTGCATTTATTCCTTTGCAGAACACGGTAGTGACTTTCTTAGCTGTATAAACAGGCAAGTTTTAATATTTAAATACATACTAGGTGTTTACCTAGTATATATTTGTTTAATATTAATAAGGACGAACGAAAATATTAGGCCTGAGGTCTAAAATAAATGCAAAAAGGAGCAGTCTGGAAGTAGAAGATAGAGATTTGAGCAACTGAAGAAATGTTTTGCACGTTAGGAACTGCGTCGGAGTAAGAGTTTTACTTCTCATCGTTATTTAGCTGGAAGCTTTGGGCACAGTGCTGTACCTTAACCACCCACCTTTCTCCTCTTCAATCGTCTCCACAAGGTACCGGCTCTCCTCTTGCACTTTCTCCTCAAAACGTACAGCAATGCTTTTCAGTGTTGCTAAAGCAAACTTTCTCTGTTGCCTCCATATATGCCCACTTGATGATATGAGCCCTGTAGGTGGAAAATACAAGCAGATTAACTTCACTTTGTGTCACGTATGAGTAGCAGGATTCAGAAATGGCCATTTATCTTGAACAAAAACCCCAAACCAAAGCAAACAGAACCCGTAGACATTGAAAAACTATAGCTCTGCCTGGGAATTAAAATTCAAGGGTAATTGGCTTATGCTAAAGATCTAGCTGTATGGATTTGCTTTAATCTGCTACTTTGTCACTTTGCGTGGGAAAAAAAGGTGTAAGCCAAAATACTATAAGTACTATCACGCTGTTGGCAGAGCTGCAGGCAAAAGCACCATACTCTGTCTCTGGAGCTATATGCAACCAGGGGAGAAAAAGTAAAGGAGAAATGAAAACCAAGGGGAAAACTCTTCAAGTGTATCGTTCACTGAGCTGCTTGCATTTATTTCTCCTCTTTCATCAAGGCCTGACTTTGATCTCATCATCATCCCTAAATCCAGAGATTAAAATGCACACCTGTGGGATTATTAGACTGAATTAAATTCTTGCTTCCCTCTGTGCAATCCTTTACAGGTGCAGTTATTGAGCATTTAATCCAGCCTGTTTCTTTCACTCTGATAAAATCATAAATAGATGAAGAAATTGTACCAAAATCCTGGTAGATGTGCTTACCAAAACCTCTAAATATTTCTTGGAGAAGTGGAATATTTGGCCG